TTTTGTCACAAATTGAACATTTGAACCTGGTTCTTTCAACTAACTCTCCTTTCAGGCGGGTCACCTCCCCTCTCTGTATCTTACTTTCCCCACCTGGGTTACCCATCTTTCTCTTTCTCTTTCTCTCTACTCTTCCTCCTCCTCTTTTGGATGGGGAAGGGAATAGGAAGGGTCTCACTATATAGTTCAGGTTGTCCTCAAACTCAGTCCTCCTTCTGCCTCCTAGGTGCTGGCATGGAGGACTACAGGTGCACCAGAATGCTTTGCTCAGATTGCCCACCAGTGTGACTCCTTTTAGCCAAGATTGCAGTAGCCTATGACTCCTCTCTAACATTAAGTGCACAACACAGATCTTACCATTTTATTCTATTTGACTTGTGTGCCCTGGGTGGTGTCTTAGGCTCTTGCCCTGTTGCATTAAGTCATTCAGCCTTAACACCTCATGAGGTAGTTGTCATGGTCTCCATTCTTAGTTACTGTTCTGTTGGTCATGAAACAACATGACCAAGACAGTTTATAAAAGGAAGCATTTAACTGGGGACTGACTTACAGTTTCAGAGGGCTGTTCCATGCTCACCAATGTAGGGAGTGTGGTGGTAGGCTGGCAGGCATGGTGCTGCTGCAGTAGCTGAGTCAGAGAGACTGAGGCCACTATGAGTCTACCATTGGTTACGCACCTCCTAATCCTTTCCAAACAGTTCCACCAACTAGGGACCAACCATCCAAACATGTAAGCTTATGAGGGCCATTCTCATTCAAACCACAGCATTGCACACTATGCATGTTCTAGGGAGTCATACAGCTTGTTCACCTCCTTTTAGTCAGCTCAGCCCAGAAGAAGGAACCCTGAGGGAGCAGCCTCCTGTGTCTGAGCTGATGGCTGAAGGGCTATCAAGGAGTAAGTGTTCTTGCAGTAAAGGCTGTCTTTAATCACATGGCATGGCCATCTTGCCTTGCAGATGGCTCACAGTTATTGACAGGGCCTGTTGCTGGTCTCCACCCTCAGCTGACATCTGTCTCATGGTTTTCCCAGGTTAACTCCACCATCCCCATCACAGCTGAAGTTTTTAAGAAGCATGGAGTGTACAACCCCAACAAGATCTTCGGTGTGACAACCCTTGACATCGTCAGAGCGAACACATTCGTGGCAGAGCTGAAGGTGTGGGCCGGGTGGGCGCCTCTCAGTTGCCTATTTTCTGAACTGCTCAGCCACCCTTGCTCCTGGGCAGGCATGGAAGATGGCGGTGAGGTGTCTAGACCTGGGGGTTTCAGTCTTTGTAGCTGGCTTCAGTGTTTTCTGTAAGAACAGGCAGTGAACCCCACAGGCTCAGACTGGCCAGCAACTACCTGACTTAGCATGCCTTCTGCATTTGGTCTCTTCCCAATCCATCAGGGTTCAGAGAGTTTATCTAATCCACTCTTGAATGGTAGCCACCTGTCCATTCACCATGCCCTGGAAAAATTAGATTTATCTGTTAGTACTAACACACAGTGATAAGGACTTGGGAAAGTTCCAGAAATCCTAAAGTAGCTGAACTGTCATCCAGGGCCTCTAGTTCTTCTTCCTTTTCTTGGATTACCTGTAGTAGCTTACTTTGAAGGATTCATATTCCACTGGCTTCTTGCCTCTAGGGCTGTGCCCTACTCTTTTTTTTTTTTTATGTGTAGAGACATGAGTAGATACAAATTTCTTATTTTTAGTTACATGTATATATGTGGGTTTGTGGTGTGAATGCAGTGCCCTAGGTATCCAGAGAAGGCATTGGTTCCTCCTAGAGCTGAGTTACAGGCAGTTGTGAGCCACTGTGTAGATGCTGGGAAGCACAATCTGGTCCCTTGCAAGAGCAGCAACTGCTCATGGCCACTGAGCTGCATCAGCCACTGTCTGTTCTCATGCCTTTCGAAGCCTGCCTGGCTGTCATTTACCTTGTAACTGTGCGTCTCACCAGCAGCCCTGCTGCCCTGAACCTTGCTGTTTTGCCATCCAGCTCCAGTGTGTGGAACGATGTTAATTTCTCAGAGTTGAGAGATCTCTTTATCTGGGACAGAATGGGGGAGCACTTGTTTGGTCATTTCCATGAAGAATGATTTAGCCCTAGGAAGGATCGTTGCTGTACTCTGGTTTTATGAGGAAGTCAGGTGGCTAGAAGGGTGAGCATCAGGGTCTGCCGTGTGATGGAGAAGCCGTGGTGACCCCTACACAAGCCGTCCCTCCTTGCACCTGCCCACAGTGACTGATCATATGACACAGCCCAAGTGCTAAGCACAGCTGGGGTCAGACTCTGGATTTCCAGTCTGTGCACTTTGGGTGACTGCACCTACCTTGTTTTGTGCTCAAAAACCTTGTTAACAATTGGGCTTCCTGCCTTGTGAATAGGGTTTGGATCCCTCTCGAGTCAATGTGCCTGTCATTGGTGGCCACGCTGGGAAGACCATCATCCCATTGATCTCTCAGGTATGTGAGCGACTATGTGAGAGGGAGAGGGGGAGACTGAGACTGAAGGTGGATTTCAGGAAGCTGTAAGATCACAAACACCTTAGGGCTGCCTTGAAGCTCTCAAAGCAGTCTAGGGTAAGTGGACTGCCTGTGTGCTGTGGAAGGGCTCCTGCCATGGCTGGACACCAGCTGTCTAGGTTTCCCTGACTATGACTATGGGACTTGATGGAATCAAAAGAAGCCGGCTCCAGCACACTGTGGGAAACATCCCATGAGCTCAAAGCAAACAGTGTAATATAGGAGGGCAGGTTTTCACAGGTACACAGCTATAATGCCCACTCTTGGTAAGTGGAGGCAAAAAGAACAGAAGTTCAGGGTTATCAGCTATATAGTGAGTTTGTGGTCAACCTGGGCAACATCAGTCAAGCCCTATAGTAAGCAAAAGCAAAATGGTTTAATTGAGACAGAGTTAGCATCATTTAATACGTGATCTGTAAATCAGCTCTGTAGCTCCTCATTATGACGTGCCAAGCATCCGTGATGCTTTTGCGTAGAATTTTGTTTTAAAACATGTAAGTGAAGCAAGAGGAAACATGCCACCCACTCTGATGATTAAGGTGGAGAGACAGATACCTCAGTGGTTAGGAGCACTTGTTGCTCATTCTTGCCAAGGGCCTGAGTTCATTTCTAGCACTCACGTCGGCTACAGGGGTCTGCTGCCCTTTTCTGGACTCCTTGGGTACTCACATACACATAGACACATGGACATGTAAATCTAAAAGTGATTCTCAAAGCTCATGTGGGGGCAGTAGAGAAGACGTGGAGGTAAGAGTTAGGCTGGATCCACATCACTGCATGGAGCCATGGATCGTGCTACTTAGTATGCAAAACTCTTGAAAAGTAAGGGGTGGGAGGAGGCTCTGTCAGTAAAGTGCCTGCCATGCAAGTATGAGGACCTGAGTTAGGGTCCCAGGTCCCATGTGAAAGACAGGTACAAGACGGGCACCCTAGTACTGGTGAGTCAGTGAGAGACACTTTCTCACAGCATAGATGTAAGCTAGGGGGTGATTGATGGAGACCCCTGTCATCAACATCAGGCCTGGAAATGTATATGTGTGTGCATACAAGCGGGGGGCCAGGCATGGTGGCAGTCCCCGCAGGAATGTTAGGAATTCAAAGGTATCTTTGGCTGCATCATGAATTCAAGGCCAGCCTGGGTTACATAAGAACTGTCTGAACCAAGCCTCCTGAAAAAAGTGAATTTGTTTTTGTCAGTAGAAAATGATGTTGGGGTCTCTATGGTTGAGTGGTGGGGACCCCTGTCTGGCATGATTGAGGCCTGGTGCAGTGTGGTGCTGAGATGGAAGATGGAACACAGTGGAGGGGGGATTGGGCCAAGCCTTAGGGGGTGGGGCTAGCACCAGGAAGTTGCTCACACAGCCCTTGGCTTGCCCTGCAGTGTACCCCCAAGGTTGACTTTCCCCAAGACCAGCTGACCGCACTCACCGGGAGAATCCAGGAGGCTGGCACGGAAGTCGTGAAGGCCAAGGCTGGAGCAGGTAGAGTCCCAGGAGTTCTTGGGGTGGGGACACTGACACTGTGGGCCAGGAATGTTAGCATAACAGAGAAAGACTGCTTGTCCCTGGGTAGGGAATGAGTGTTTCTCCCCAATGTGCTTTGCCTGAAGAGAAGGCTCTAGAAAGTAGCTCAGATTTCAGTGGGGTGAGGGTGACAGTGACGTGCAGACCAGATTCTCCGCCATGACCTGTGGTGTGCGGGTGCTTTTTCTGGGAACATGATGCCTTGTTTCTGGGGTCTGTTGCTGGCTGTTCTGACCCCCCATTCTCTCCTAGGTTCTGCCACTCTGTCCATGGCTTACGCTGGAGCCCGTTTTGTCTTCTCCCTTGTGGACGCCATGAATGGGAAGGAAGGTGTCGTTGAGTGTTCTTTTGTTCAGTCCAAAGAGACAGAGTGCACTTACTTCTCCACACCCTTGCTGTTGGGGGTATGTATACAGGGTGGCCATGGTTGGTGCTTGCTTGGCTTTGGGGAAGGGAGAGAGTGTGTCTCAGAATGTAGAGGTGGGCCCATCACAGGGCAGTACAAGTACCATTTGGAAATGTGGCACTACGAATGGCTGTCCAGGCCAGATCAGCTTTGAAAGAAACTAATCCCCCCTGGGCTGGGATGCAGTTAAACCAACAGCCTCTGCTTATAATCCCCCAGTGAGGGGCTGAGGGCATGGCTGGGTGATAGAGCACTTGCCTCCTCAGCTTCCTGGGTGCTAGGATTTCAGGCCTGTGCCACCAAACCAAGCTAGGAACTTGATCTCACCTGTCACCATCTCCCCCTCTCTTCCAGAAAAAAGGCCTGGAGAAGAACCTGGGCATTGGCAAAATCACTCCTTTTGAGGAGAAGATGATTGCCGAGGCCATCCCTGAGCTAAAAGCCTCCATCAAGAAAGGCGAGGACTTTGTCAAGAACATGAAGTGAGAGGTTGAAGCCCCAGGCAGCAGCATCGCCCTAACTTATTCCACATCATGTCTCTGCAGCCACCAGGGCCTTCGATTTGCTTTGATGGTGGGTGTTGTACCGGCATCGGCATCTCTCCCCAATGGTGGCTGGTCTATTGATAATGACAATAAAGCAGACTGTCTTTTTCACCATCTCCATCAGCTCACTTGAGGGCCTGGTCACTACAGTATGAATTAGAAACAGTCTGTGGCTGGGCATGGTGGCACACACCTTTAATCTCAGCACTCAAGAAGAGATAGGAATATCTCTGATTTCAAGACCAGACTGGTCTACATACTGAATTATAAGTCAGCTGAGGCTACACAGGGAGACCCTGTCCCAGAAATACTACCACTACTATTAAAAATATCTAGAGGCTATTCACATGTTCGAGACCTCTGGGGCTTCAAGGAAGTAAGCCAAGCCTGGTAGTCCATGCCTGTGATCCCAGCCACTGTAGAGGATGAGGGAAGAGGATCTGAAGTTCAAGCCCTGCCCACACCACAGAGTGGGTACAGAGCAATCACAGACACCCAGGGAGAGCCTGCCTCAATGCTGGAGCAGTGGGGATAGAGCTCTGCAATGGACCACTAGCCTGAGCACTCTCAGGGGTGTGGCTGGGCTGGCATGCTTCCTACATGTCCCAGGCCTTAGGTTCTATTGGCTTAGTTCAATCATCAGTTTGACACAGCCTAGAGTCATCTGAAAAGGGAACTTTTCAATTACATTGCCCTGATTAGATTCACCTGCAGGCATGCCTGTGGGGTCTTGGTTGTAAATTGGTGTAAAGGGCAGCCCAGCCCACTGTGGGCGCAGCATTCCCTGGGCAGGTGATGTGGGCTGTATAGGAAAGCTCACCGTGGGGCTGAAGCATGGCTCTGTAAGGGCCAGTACTACTGAGAGCCTTCTAGCTTGGTTCCCAACACATGTGCTACAAAGTTCAACTCCAACTCCAAATGGTCCTACGATCCCTGTGTCTTCTGTGGACCAAGGCCCGGGTACAAATAGACACATCTTCAAAGATGAAATGGCTGGATGTCGTGGCACACACCTTTAATCCCAGCACTCACAAGAGGCAGGTGGATCTCTTGTGAATTCCTGGCCAACCTCATCTACATGGTGAGTGAGTGCCAAGCCAGACAGCTACATAGTGAGATCCTGTCTCAACAAAAAATAATCTTTTAGAAAGAAATGTCTGAATATAAGCTAATTCTGTCCTTTTTTGACTGAAATGAGTTCCTTGGTCTGAGGAAATGCTGTATGGAATAGCTACCAGGTCCCCTGTCAAGTTCCTGCCTTGATTTCCCTCAGTAATGGGCTATGTGACCTGGAAGTGTGAGCCACAAGCCCTTTACTTCCCCCCAGGATAGTTCTGGTCATGATGTTTGCCACAGCAACAGAAAGCAGACTTGAACAGGTTCTATCCCTAACACCACCAAAAAATAAAAGGTCTGAGGATTGCCATGAATTTACAGTCAGCCTGGCCTTATAGTACCCTGTCCTTTCTGACTCATGATTCTGCATGTGACACACTACAGACCTATTTGGGCAACATGTGCTGTTGGATAGGATTCTTGCTTTCACCTGACAGGCTGGATCTAAGAGATAGGTCATGTGACATCTTGCATGTGGATGGTCACTGCTCACCATATTCCAGGACTTCCTTGTGGAGGGTTTCCTGGAAAAGCAGACAGTGTTGTTATACACTGAGTCATATCTCCAGGATATATATGTATGTGTGTGTGTGTGTGTGTGTGTGTGTGTGTGTGTGTGTGTGTGTGTGTGTGTGTGTGATAGGTACTGGGGATCAAACACAGGTTCTCATGACAACATGGCTAGCCAGCACTCTACTGACTGAGCCATCTGCCCAATCTTCATTAATCTTTTGTATAAATTTTATGTTTTTGAAAATCTTACATGTAAATAAAAACATCACACCAAAAAATTAACCAGGCCCAAAGTCCATACAACTTACGTACAGTTAGAATTGGTATTAGAAACAAATTCTAGCCAGACAGTGATGGTGCACGCCTTGATCTAGCACTTGGGAACAGAGGCAGGTGGATCTCTTGAGTTGGAGGCCTGCATATTGAGTTCCAGGACAGCCAGGGGTACACAGAAACCCTGTCTCAACCTGAAGGGGAGAAGAAAGGAAACGAGCCATGATGCATTACATCACCTCCATTAAATGTTACTCTTTCAGTATCAAATCTGTTTATGTGCTTACCCCACCACCAAACAAACCCACAGGATCACAGGTGTGTGTCACCATGCCCATGTTGACTCCTGTTTGTGAGGGCTTGCCTGACAACTCTGGTCTGAGAATTAGGAAGAATGCAGATGAAGAGCCAGGACTAGCCGGGTGGTGGTGGCGCACGCCATTAATCCCAGCACTGGGGAGGCAGGCAGGCGGATCTCTGAGTTCGAGGCCAGCCTGGTCTACAGAGTGAGTTCCAGGACAGCCTCCAAAGCCACAGAGAAACTCTGTCTCACAAAACCAAAAAAAAAAAAAAAAAAAAAAAAAAAAAAAAAAAGCCAGGACTAAAAGGCTCTGGAGCAAAAATCTATGGGTCTTCCCTGGCATCTCACACAGAGGAGAGCTCTAGGCTTGCTCTGCAGACTGGGGAGCATTTCAGGCAGCCAAAGGAGCAAATGTGTTCAAACTTCTGACCCTTGGCAATTACAAAGTTCATGCTCAAAAGTTTCACAATGAGGGAAATGGTTCAGTAGGTAACAGTACTTATTCTATAAGCATGGGGACCTGAGTTTGAATCCTCCCACCCACCCATACAGAAATCCAGACATGGCTGTGCATATCTGCAAGCCCAGATCCTAGTCAGGGGTGAAGACTGGGATCCTGAGAGCTTGCAGGCCAGCCAGCCTAGACAAAAGTAACCCTCCCATTCAGTGAGAGCCACTGTCTCAAGACAATGAAGTAGAGGGCAATCAACAGTGACCTCCAATACCCTGTTAGTATAGTGAGGCATGATCATTAGGACCTGAGTTCGATGCTCAAACCATATAAAAAAAATACAGGTGTGAGCCAGGCATGGTGACACAGCTTTAATCCCAGGCACTCAGAAGGCAGAGGCAGGTAGATCTTTGTGAGTTCAAGGCCAGCCTGGTCTCCAAAGCAAGTTCCAGGACACTCAGAGTTGTTGCACAGAGAAATACTGTCTCAGAAAACAAAAATCCAGGTGCGATATGTGCTTGCAATCCCAGCACTGGACGGACAGGGACATTCCCAGGACTCCCTGGCTAGCGAGCCTGGCCAAATCAGTGAATGGTCGCCAGTGAGTGAAACTTCAAAACATCTGAAGGTGACCTCCACACACAAGGGCACATATGAGCATACACACATGCACACAAATACAAACCCAACAAAAGGTGTAAAGGAAAAAACCCTTAATGTTTTAAGTAACTTTACAGTTTTGTATCAGGCCACATTCATAGCTGTCCTGGGCACATACATACGTTGGTGCCTCAGGCTCACTTGGTGTGGTTGGCATACCCAGCTGAAGGGTGTGACCCTTATCCTGGAGATTAAAGATGTGTTCTAAGTCAATAGGGCTGGACAGTTCCATAACAGGGTTCCAGACCGCAGCTTCTTCAAGCTCAATGAAGAAGGTCATCTTTGCATGTGTGTGACTGGGGTGGGCTCTCAACTGCATCCTTGGGAAATCCAGCTCCAGGTGACTCCCTGCCAAAGGCTCACACTCCATGCTACAAGTTTGAACTCAAAAGAAGAGCTGAGGGCCAACATTGGGGTGGCTTTGAGCATCATGGAAAGGGAGAATGCATCTCCCAACCCCCATTTCTACTTCCTTAAAAATCTGTTAGCTGTGCTGGGCAGATGGCTGGGCGGGTGAAGTGCCTATCATGTAAGAAGACACTTGGAAGACTTGCGTTTGGAGTATACAGCATGTAAGAAGCCAGGTGTGGCAATATACTCTTGAAACCACAGTACTGGTGAGATGGGGGTGTTTTGGATTCCTGGCACTGGCTAGCCGGTCAGACCTAACAATAGAGGAGCTCTGGGGTCAATGGAAGACCAGGCAGGGCTGGAGGGATGGCTCAAAAGCTAGAAATACATACCGTTTTTAGAGAATATCCCGTTACTCCCCTTCCCTGACCACCTGTCCCCTACAACCAGAAAAGAAAGGCAAGGGTGGCAAGTGGAGAGCCAGTCCTTAGCAGCTCCAAGGCAGTGGGGAGCCCAGATAAGGACAAATGGGCTACAGAAGATTGCAGGAGTCAGGGGAAGGAGCCACAGTGACTCTGGAAAATTAAAAGGAAAGCATTGTAGTGAGTTCTCTGAGAAAGCAGAGAGGACCTAACCCAGGCTTTAAAACAAAGATTCTGCAGTTCCCGGTGTGGCCAGAAGAGGGAGCAGGAGGCTGATGCTGCCCACAGCCTCCAGGCAAGGCTAGGTCACTCAGGAATGAAATTAGCATTCCAGAACCAAATCAGGCTAGTCGTGCTGTCTGGCCTTGGCTCATCCAGGCAGGAGGGAGGAGACTGTCAGCAGTGTAGGAGCAAATAAAGGGAGGGCCATGGAAAGCAAAGCTCCAAGTCTTTATTGCAACTTTGAAGTGGGAGGCCAGACTAATCTTGGGTTCCTCCTGTCTCTGATGCCCTGAACACTGGACAAAGACACGGCTGACATCCAAAGGAGAGAGGGGGCTGAGATTCAAACCCAGGAAAGGAGAAAGCTACTGAGTGGACAGGAGAGAGGGGTGGTTCTGCAGGCACTTTAAAAAGCCATTGTTGAAGCTGGAGAAAGCACTCAACAGTTAAGAAAACCAATTTACTGCTCTTCCAGTGGACCTGAGTTCAGTTTCCAGCACCCATATAGGGCAGATAACCACTGACTGAGCTCTAGTTCCAAGGGATCCGACACCCTCTTGTGGCCTCTGCACTCATGTGATGGACATAAACTCACATAAGCACACACACACATACATAAAAATAATTAAATCTTTTTTTAAAGGCTATTGTCTCCTTTCTCTCTGCCAATGTCCTAGCACCAGGAGACACCGTTGCTTGGGGGCAAACACCTGACCAAAGCCAGTTGACTAGAATACACTCTCTCTTCATCCTCCGCATTCTGTCTTATGGCATCTAAAGGGGTCACCATGGTGCAGGCAGCCCCAGAC